TCTTTACTGGGCGCCCAGTGCAGTGTAACCATTATATTTCTTTAAACACACCTTATACCTACAGATTAATTTCATTGATAAATGGGCTCGTGGTCTCACATTTTTATCCATCAGCTATCATTCAGTTGATGAAACCATCAGCCACGCATCCGCTATCAATACACTTTCACAATCGTCATATTGACGTATTTTCCTTGTTAGGTATTCAAGATAAACTATTTAGGTATTATACTCGTAGATTTACCAGAGCCGGAGTTAACGTTGTATGCGAACTCGTTGGTGATTTATTATTCAACATTTTTAGTTCTTAAACCTGGAATCCCATGACGCATTTTCTCACAGGCCAACAAATATCGAATACGAATAGTTTGTGAGTCTGAAAGGACAATGTCTTATTTTGTATGGAATCTAGAACAGCAGCAACACAACGGACGTAACGAGAACTAACAATTACACATTTGACAATGACATTTCGTACTCGCAAACGTTACGAATTCGATATTGGTTCGTGCTAAGGGTACTGTACCCCTAGCACAAACCAGTATCGAATTCGAATAGTTTGCGAGTACGAAATGTCAATGTCAAATTTTGTATGGAAACTTGAACAGCAGCGGCACAAAGTACGTAACGAGAACTAAAAATCAGTACATATTTGACAATGACATTTCGGACTCGCAAACGTTACGAATTCGGTTTGGTTCCTTGGGCAAGCCAAGAGGGCCCTGGGCGGCAGGCCGCGAGGAAGGCTAAAGCATTTTAATTGCATTCATTACTGACCTAGTTACTACTTATATACCTTAATTTGTTTTACTAATTCTAGGAGAGGGGGTGCTAGTCGAAAAGGGCCCGGGACGCCAGATTTTTAAATACGCCCCTGTGTCCATGGAATGGCGCTTACACCTCGTTACCATTAACGCTATTTTATATCAGAGATAAAACAATCGTTTACAAGCAGGGTTATCATAAAAAATAACGTTTTATTTTTCTGCATTTTGCTTTGGGGATTGGATCAAAGGCGCGAGGTCCTACCGGTCAGGACCACGGTATATTCACTGCAAACTTTTTTTTTTAGTTTATTTAGGAAAACAAACAACTGTACATTAAATTTTGATAGCAAAGAAGTTGATAGAAACTTACTAATTGTACAATCAACACCGTCATCCTAAGATTACAAATTGTACAATCAACTTTCGGTACCTATCATAATTCGACACCGTAGGTAATAGAATCGGTGCATGTAGTATTCTGTAAAGTAGTGATTGCTTCCCTGAGTAGGAACTCCAGTTAAAAACGACTCGCCTTTGGTGCTTTTTTAGTATCATCCATCCTATTCACTATAATCCTACTAAATATAAAAAAAGTTTGTGTGTTTGTTACTCAATCAGGCAAAACCTACTACTGAACGTATTTGGATGAAATTTAATTCGCATAGTTAATGCCCTGGATTGAGACAAAGGATACTGTATATCCTGGCAATATTTTGGGTTCCTGTGGGATTAAAAACAACTAAAGTTAATGCGGACGAATGGCGGACGGCCGCTTGTTGAATATAAAAAATATATCTCTAAAGTGATAGCCCTTACAGTCGCAAGTGAAGCACGTCTCGACGCAATCTCCATATCACGCTTATCAACACTGATAAACCAATACACAGCTAGATGGTAAATTACAATTAATACAAACTTACGTAACATTTTTTTAAATTATTATGATTAGTTTTAGCTTTTGTAATTTAAAAAAAAATGTAAATATAATAAATAAAAACATATTTACAAATAAATACATGTAATTATTAAAAAACTAATAAAACCTCGATTACCATAATCAAGGTTACTGACGGTACTTGTTTTTTTCTAATGCAAAGCTCAGCAAATTCTGAGAGAGGCAGGGTACTGCGGGTTTTCCGCTCGAATTGGATCGCCCGTCTGGAGTAGCAACGCGTTTCATTAATGAAATGACACCCTTTTTTATCTCTTATAATTCCCGTGATATTTGGGTACTATATAAAAAAATACACAGGGCTTTTTGTCTGGAAGAAACGTAAAATACTTAATGTTGTAGCGAAGTGTAGCCGAATGCAAGTTGGGTAATTATTTACCTGACTTTCGTATTGCCAGGGGGCCATTCGCCTAACGGAAATGCTTTGGAAAACGCTATCATTTTGTTATTTCTAGCCGCCTGAGGTTTTCAAATGCCTATGCAATAAAGAATTTGAATTTAAAAAAATGCCTCGCGCTATCTTTTATTTTATATTGCATTGCTAATAACAATATTAAAAAAACATGAACGTGAGATATTTGAAAACCTTCGGCGGTCAGAAATAACAAAATAAAATCGAAAGCGTTTTCCAAAGCATTTCCGTTAGGCGAATGGCCCCCTGATTAGAAGCGTGTATGACGTATCTATAACTACAATATATAAAACATCATAAATTGTTCCATAATCTGAGAACATATCGAGCCATCATCACCTTACTGCCCTGAATCCAATTTCTAGCATATCTAGGTACTTTATAAGTAAGTTTAGTATTACCAGTCTATACTATGTACTTATGTCTTGTATAAACATCATTACCTACTATAATAGGCCTATTTTCAAGTGGATTGAAGGCGAATGCCGTGCCGTGCCGTGCAGTGTCCCCCGATCAATGCTTGCCGTTCAATCGCCGAAGGTCATGGCATGCATGACCTAAAAATTGCAGTAATTAATACACTAAATCTGAATAAAGATTGCATAAGCCCCTGATGCTAGGGCCAGTATATAGAGATTCCTCGACCTTCTTAACCATCACTCATTTTAAAAATGTTCGTTTATGGTTTTTATTTAGTTTGAATTGAATTCCGTCAAAACTGTCAATAATATTTTTATTGACAGTCCAGCAGAAACTACGTAAAAGAAAGACTTCGTTTGTGATATTGGAATTCATTCGCCAAGATTTAAAATGTTTTAAAATAATAAGTTTGCAACCCAAAATGGGGTAAGTATCATTATATTTGACTCCAGTTTAAAAAATATTGAACAAAAATTATAAAAATGAATTTTAACGCACAATGAGAAAATACTATCACTTTTTAGAACTCCGTAGTGCTGGCAAGATACACCCTTATAGTTTCATCATGTCCGTCGGTCTGTCTGTCCGTCCGAGGTTTGGCTTAGAGACTGTTCAATCACTCAATCACTCCGACCTTACCCTACATAATATGTAGTTGGAATGATTTTTTTCATCGTTTACCCCATTGTGTGGGGTATCGTTGAATAGCTCCTTTAAAATGACTTAGGGGTTGCTATAACTATTTTTCGATATAAGAACCCGTTTGCAAAAAGAGCTAATTTTGGTACGAGTAGGGCGTCCCATGTGTTTTGTTTGAGTCAAGTATACACACAGGCGGCTATAAGGTACTTACGGGGATTTTACACTCGCTCGGAGGCGTCGGAGGAAAAAAAGATATAGGTACCTGGCTGGTTAGGTTAGTACCTGGTGCGTGTCAAAAAAAATGACCGAAACAAGATTAGAGTAAAGACAGCTTTGCGATGCTCAATTAAATATTTTATAAAAATAGGTAAGGTAAGTACCCTAGGCCAGGTAGAGAAAGCAATGGACATGGCCTGGCCGGACAACAAAAAAAGGCACATACAGCCACGGATCCAGTTACTGAAACAAAACTGTCAAACTTCTCCAATCGACTTTAAGCACTATGCTTCTGCATATATGGTTAATAATCTATTGAGAACTGTCAGTTTGTGCTGACTTGGTGTGTGGCTGTCTGTACTTACTAGGTACAATGGAGTTCTTCGTTTTCTTTCTTTTTTTTTAGCTTTGCACTACAATAGAGTTCAATGGACAACCAGTTCGACGGCACCGGGCTCAGCTGAACTTGCGACTTTTTTTTTTATTTATTAGTCTGATATGAAGAATTCAAATGATTTTTTAATTAAGTTTATTTAGATTGAACTTATGTATGTAGGTGCCATTTTGTTCGATTACTTTTTGCCATCCTGTAGTTAGGGACATGATCCCGTGCTATAGCAATTTTGGGGCTTCTGATCAAAAGTCCTCTCGTGATGTTAACCTGACACTGCCTAAAGAATTTTGAAGAGACCGAAACAGGTGGAAATCTGAAGGTGCAAGGTCAGGACTATACGGCGGATGCATTAACACCTCCCAGTCAAACTCTCTTAAATTTTGCTGAGTGGCTTAGGATGAAGTGTTATCATAATGAAAAACAACACCCCTTCTGTGGATTAATTCCGGACGCTTTCGCTCAGCTTCTTACTTTAATCTCATCAGTTGTTCTTATACCTCCTTATTAATAAACGAAGACTACACTTGGATTAGTTATTAGTCTATTGAATGACAAATGCCAATTCAGTGACATGAACAAAACACCGCGTAACTAGTCTAAGCTTAGTCCTTGTTTATTAATAAAGTGGATAGAGTTCAGAATCGATGGTCCTGTCTGGCGGTAACAGCCCATAATGAATAATGCCCTTTCAATCCCACCATACACAGCAAAGGCAATACATTTTGTAGAGTGTTATAATACTGTTTAACCCCTTTAAAAGAATACAAGAGCCATTAAATGTTAGTTATACATACATACTAACCTCATTAAAAGTTGTTTTAGTTTTTAGTTATTACAGGGGTTGTTATAGAAATTAATTTGTGAAATAAGCCATTTATAAATTTATGGTTAACTAGCGGCCCGCCCTCGCTTCGCTTCGGTGTAGAGCTGAAGTGTAGACTACAGTTTATGTTCTCTGGCTTGTTTTATACACAATGACATTCATCTATGATTCTTCTTATACCTGCATGCAAAGTCTCAGCCCGATCGGTTTAAAATTGACTAAGTTTCATACAAACTTTCATTCCCTATTTTATCCCCTTGGGAGTAGAATTGATCAAAATCTTTTCTTAGCGGATGCCTACGTTATAACATCTACCTGCATGCCAAATTTCAGCCCGATCCGTCGAGTGGTTTGGGCTGTGCGTTGATAGATCACTATGTCAGTCAGTCACCTTTGAGATTTATTTAAATAGATTTTGTTAAAAACCAAAGCCTATCGTGCGGGTTAACCCCAGCCAGAAAATATAAAAAATTGTCACCCAAAACGTGCAATAGATACAGCTTCTGTAAATGGTAAGCATAGCTAAATCCTAGATCCATGAAAGAAGGTGCTAAAATGACGCAGGCCGAGTCATCTAGCCAGTGAACCTAACAAGTTACGTAATATAATATGACATCACTAGAGCTTTTCAGTAGTTCTAAATTGTAGACAAAATTCTGACGTCTACAGCAGGCAGATGTTTGTTAATGCTATAAAGCGCGATAAGTAACCATCTATTTAATGCTCAATCTTATAAGGAATTAAAACTTGCATTACGACAAAAAAATGTTGTTGAATCTAGTAAAAAAGGTATGTGCGTGTGACCGTGTCTTTTATCCTTCTGGCTACAATTTATTTAAAGGTCCTGCTAAATCTTTATGTACCATATGAAACCTACGTTTTCCATTGTAGGCTCTCGGGAGGGCAAGCACAAAGTTTATTAAAAAAACAGTTAACTTACGTAAAATGACGCAGAGCTAGCTAACGGGTGTACCTGACTGACGTAACAAATTACGTAATATAGTGACGTCACTAACGTAGTCCCAAAACGTTTTCATTCATGCAGAAACTCGCCTATAGTTTACAGGTAATTTGTTAATTACTACCTACCTATTTCCTCCTAGTACTTAGCAAGCCATACGATTAGAGGATTTTTATGGCACAATTTAGAGATTCTGTCTAGCCGACTTAGGGTCGTCAACCCTATTTAATATAGTATCCGTATCCTACTATATTTAGATTAGAGGAGGATAGTAGGCGAAAATACTATATTTTTCTTGAAGCAGATATAAGCCATTAAAGCTTTCCTAAAGATAAAAAAAATATTTATTAATGCATAGAGCAGCAAAAATACGTTCTTTCAAAAATAAAGGAAATATTTTAACACCATTCTATTTTTTGCCATTTCATGTTAACAGTTACGAAAAAACTATATTTGACAGAAAAACAGTTGGTCACTCTAAAGCAGACTCATTATTACTTAACTGGACATGAGAAGAGGTTGATAGGAAAATTTTACGTGCACAGTGCACACTATGTTGTACAAAACCAACAACTCAATATCCAAACTCCCATTTTAAAGACCATGAGTAGTAGCACGTAGTAGTATAAACAAATAGATGATAGTAATTTTCTGCTATTTTCAGTGAACGATTTTGGTGCCCGCGCCTTTATTTTGACATTCTTAAGGAGAAACCATTTTGTATTGGAACAATGCATACTTACTACTACCAACCAGTTACATGTTCTTCTACTATCCTCCTCAAATCACAAGTTAGGTAGACTCACATCATTTGATGCCTTGATGACGTCACAACTCTGTGAAATTGGTCATCGCACGCAGGAAAGGGGATTCCATGAAAACCTTCATCTTAATGTCATGCAGTAAGATTAAGAATCGTTTTCGCGAGTTTAACCTTTACTGCCAGTATGCTGTAGGTCGACTATTTATAGCTTAGTATATACGCAGTAGTTATCTATTGATAAACTAGGCAAAGTAGGTCACTGTGACGACTTGACCTACCTATCAGCTAAGTCTGTAAAAAAATATTTAGTTATGTAACTATTTGAATTCAGAATTGTATGCTTCATTATTTGAATATCAAAAGGGAAATTAATTGGTAGAATCAAATCTGGATTGAACCAGAATTACTTGAGTAGTGCATGCAGGCTGATGCTGATACAGAAGAGATATTAAATAAAAAAAAAACAAATGACTTGTTTTTTAACATTTCTATATTTTAATGTACTCATGTGCACGACTTTTTCCCAGAGAAAAATCCGTGCCGAGCCAACATGCTTACATTAGCTCATTGATTCACCCTTACCATTCTGATTTTCTACATTAATTTAATTCCATAGATGTATGATAACTACTACACTGTTTAATGTAACATATTGATCAAAATAGATATAATTTTCATTTGTCTTTGTCACCAAAGCACACACAAGACACATACATCTGTTTAAAGTTACATAACATGTAAAATCACATGATTCCTAATCTTTTTCAAAGATATTCACAGCAATAGTGTTAAAAAGTGAGCATTATCTTTACATGGCTGGTGTCAGAATGACAAACAGTACAAGGTCTCACTCCCAATGTTGTGTAGGTTAAGTATTGATTACATTGCCATCATGTGAAATCTTTTAACCGAACACATAACACAACAGCATTTTTTAGAAAATACTTCAATCAAATTGTTCCATCAGCCAGTTTTGCTTTGGCCCCAAATAATACAAATGAAATGATTACATAACTCCGGCACAATCACTGGCTAACAGTTTTCACTGAAATTAAATAAAAAACTAGCACTCGAAATTTGAATTTAGAATGTTCACGGAACAATTAGTTTGAAATATTCACTTCTTCTATCACAATTTGATGCAGTTGTTTCCATCAACACATGGCTTCGAACAGATTATGTAACACTTCAACTTTGATTTTAATAAAACAATATGTGTATTGGAATCGTGTATTACACTTTATTTAACTAAAAATAAGTTACTAGTTTCGTTTTTTTTTCGCTTCTAATAATACATGATTTCAAGGGAGTGGCTATTAGCGGTGATGCAGAATCACAATAGTTATTAAGGTAACAATTCTTAAATTAAAGGATTTAAAGGAGGTTCTTAATCTCGTCATATAAGACGAGTACGAAGGCACCACCTGTACCTCTGAGGACGTTGGAGAATGCTCCCTTGAAGAAGGCAGAGGAACCCTCTGTCTTGGCAATGGTCGCCCAGCAGTGCAAAGTGTTCTTATACAGGATATCGGCCTTAGCGCGTCCAGACTGCATCATCATGCGCCTACGGACGGTGTCGAAGGGATATGACATGATACCAGCTATTGTGGTGACGGTCTGTGCGATGGCCCAGCTGATTACCAATGGAGTGTTCTTGGGATCGGGCAACATTCCGCGGGCTGTGTCGTAAAAGCCGAAGTATGAGGCGCGGTAGATGATGATACCTTGTACGGACACACCGAATCCTCTGTACAGGCCGATCAAACCATCAGACTTGAAAATTTTGGTGAGGCAGTTGCCGAGGCCGCTGAATTCACGCTGGCCTTCGCCTTTGCCGACATCGGCGGCGAGACGGGTACGGGCGAAGTCCAACGGGTACACAAAGCATAGCGAGGTAGCGCCGGCGGCACCACCCGAAGCGAGATTTCCGGCGAAGTAGCGCCAGAACTGGGTGTGCTTATCTACACCACCGAGGAACACCTGCTTGTACTTGTCCTTGAACGCAAAGTTAAGCGCCTGGGTAGGGAAGTACCTGATGACGTTGGCGAGGTTACCACGCCAGAAGGATACGAAGCCCTGCTCTTTAGGAATGCGGATGAAGGCGTCGATGATACCTTTGTAGCGCTGGTCTTCGGTAATCTGCTTGCTGACATGCTGTACCTGCAGCAGCAGCTTGACGCGCTCGATGGGCGCTACCGCGGTCTTGGATACGGCAGCGGATACACCACCGGCGATGAAGTCCTTCGCGAACGCGACCGGATCCGTGAGGTTCGACATTTTGTTCAATTAGGTGGGTTCTTGATAGGTAATTTGCCTCGCGGCGTAGAGGTGTAGGTCTACTGGTTCACACACGGGAATGGAGCAATCACGAAACACTAACTCCCGACTTTTTATAATCAGGAGATTTTAGAGTAATTTCGTGATCACGGGAGCACAGGGGTAAGGTGTGTGCCTTTTTTGAAATTCGATCGATCACGTTCTCTCGCAGTTCTGCCTGGAGGAGCGGCGCAAAAGAAGGAAGGAAGGGGCAAATATTGCCAACACAACGGAATATTACCACGAGGTCAGTGTGCCAAGCACAAACGAAAAAGTTACCTTGAAATATATTAAAATATCTTTATTTATACCCACAGGCTTGGTTTTCACTAACTATGATAAAGAAAATCCATAGAAAACATTGAATGTAATAAACAAGATGTTTATTAATTCTCGTTGAATTTTTGATATTTTTTCGTTACATGGAGGTAAAATTTTAACCAAAATTCTCTAAAACAGTAAGCTAAAAAGATATTGATGTCGATTCTGGCATGATTCTCTAAAGCTAAACTTAAATTTGACAACAGTGTATCTTTGTCATTCTCTTTACAGAATGAAAAGGACAGACTGATGTTAAATTTAGTTTTAAATTTAGAGAATCCTGCCAGAATCGACACCAATAGCTTAATTTGAAATATACAGTTCCACTACGATTTTGCATTCAAAAAAATCTCAGAAGAAATACTCCAACATTAGGAGTAAATAATTTAATCAAGCAACACTTGAATGACGTACGCTATTTGCGTTTTGTTTTATTGATGACCAACCAATAAATATATGTTTTTATGAGAAAACTAAGACATGATGAATCAAATTCAATAATATTAATCAACAACTTATTAAATTACAGCTAATCATCTTGTATTTTATTTGATAATTTTAATAAAAAAGAGTAATAACTAAACTATGCAACTTAACTAAACGTGTTCAGTTTTACCAACCGTTAGATTAAAAAATTGATTCGCGTTGCCATAGACAATCAACTGAACATCATCTCCCTCATCTGTGCAAATAACGCTAATGGAGGCCATACACGTTAGGTTTTCCATGATGGTTTTAACCGTGCATGCATAACCGAGTTTCATATTGCACATACACGTTAGGGTTTGCATGCACAGTTTTGCCATTACTCTCAGTTGAGCTACGTGACGGTGTGAGTAGAACGCCGACTAAGTAATGTGAATGGAATATTTTTTTTAATCACATCTTCTTTCGTAGCTGTGGCCTCTAATTCCTTGAACTTAGTTATCAATCTCTGGTATTCTTTGCAATGTACGTGCCAAAGACAAGGTTCCGACTTATAAATTACTATGTGGCATTGCGCTTGCGATTGACCATTTTCAAAACGACGCGATGGTGCTCGCGAGAGTGACCTTCCGCCGTCGCAACAATTAAAAATTGAGAACTGTGACAGTCAAGCTCGCCGAATGCCACACACACTCGGTTATGCTGGCGCGCAAACATAACCAAGCGGCATAAAATATCAATTTTGATATTTGTTCTGTTGCTTATATGCACCGAAAATTGTACAGTTTTATCACATACACGACACGCTAGGGCTTGCCTGTCGGTTATGTATGCACGGCTAAAACCATCATGCAAAACCTAATGTGTAATGGCTTCCATAAAGCTTCTAAAAGTTTCTTTACTTTATGCAGGTATTATATTTAAAAAAAGATATTTAAAGAAGTTTTAGTTTAGAGTTATGTCAAATTAAATTTCATACGGTGGCCTCTTTCATGCAATACTTTGCATTCAATGAAGTTACACATACGTATAAGTTATATGTTTATGTAAAGCAGGTGAAGTAAACAATTGTGTCAGACCATATGCCAAGGCGCAATCGTGAGCAGATCTACCTGCGTGATCGGTAATGCGCGATCCAAGCCATTAGGAGAGGTAGGCAATGAAATCACCAAGGATCACGATTTTTAAGGATGGCATCTGCTGAAGCACGGAGTTAGTAGCCAATTGGACGTGATCAAAGAGTCGGTCGATTTCGGCATTTCCGCTATGGGACTATAAAGGCAGGCGTAGACGCGGGGGTGGTCATCGACTTCTACACGCAATTAAAGGATGGAGAGGTTACCTTCAAAAAAGCTTAAGCGACGAAAACCGATACCCTTTCTAACGAACACACTCAAGTCCGAGGTACAAAGGAATTTTTCAAACTATATTTAGGGTACTGGAGGTAGGAGCTGGCGGCTGGAGAGGATATCTGCGACTCGGTCAAAAAGAGCAAGGCCGGCTACGCTGTCTGAAGGTGGTAGTAGACAGCATTAAGTTATCAAGTCTCAGACTGTAAGAAAGTTAGTGTTTTTTGCCCTCGACATTTAAAGTGTCTGGCAATAAATACTGCTGGCAGAATATGTCTGGCAGTATTAATTTCAAATTGTTTATAATATTCTCTACAACATACGTAAGAATCAATCCTCAGACAGTGTCAAAAAAAATTACATACCTGAAAATTGGCCCACAACACAAGTTAGCGAGTATGAAGATATACGTTCATTGTACACACTGATACTAATAATAATAAAATAAATAAAAAATAAATATAGTTAGACACTCTGGATAGGAAGGTTCGTCAACTGCTCACAATGCACCGTATGCTTCACCCGCGCTCATCTGTTATGAGACTGTATATCCCACGTAAGTGTGGAGGTCGTGGCTTATTAAATGCCAAGAATCTCCACAACCGAGAGGTGTGCAGTCTCAGGGATTACTTCCTTAACAGTGAGGGTGGGTTACATCGTGACATTGTAGCAGTTGACAAAAACCTAACGCCGCTCTCCTTGGCGAAAGAGAACTGGCGCAAGCCGAGGGTGCTAAGCACCCAGGATCGCAAGGAAGTATGGAAAAGCAAGGAGCTCCACGGACGGTTCTATCGGGCCCTAACAGGGCCTGATGTGGACCAGCTCGCCTCCGTGAACTGGTTACGATTCGGTGATCTCTTTGGGGAAACCGAAGGGTTTGTCTGTGCAATTGCTAACGAAGTCATGATGACGAACAACTATCGGAGATATATCCTGAGGGACGGAACGGCCGACATTTGTAGAGCATGTCGTCGGCCTGGTGAATCCCTCAGACATATCGTCTCTGGTTGTTCTCATCTAGCTAACAGTGAGTATTTGCATAGACATAATCTCGTAGCCAGAATTATTTACCAGCAACTTGCTGTTCAATACAACCTTGTAGAATCCGAGGTGCCGTACTATAAGTACACACCGGCGCCAGTTCTTGAAAATGGTCATGCAACGCTCTATTGGGATCGACCTGTCATTACGGACAGGACTATTATTGCCAATAGGCCTGATATCGTATTGATAGATCGATTGAAACGCCAGGCAGTGCTCATCGATATCACCATCTCGCATGATGAGAACCTCGTGAAGGCCGAGAAGGACAAGCTCAGCAAGTACCTGGACTTGGCCCACGAGGTAACCGCTTTGTGGGATGTGGATTCGACGATCATTGTCCCTATAGTCGTTAGCGTAAACGGTCTCATAGCGAAGAGTCTCGACCAACATCTAAAGAGCCTCTCGCTAGATGGTTGGGTCAAGGGGCAGATGCAAAAGGCTGTACTCCTGGACACGGCGCGCATCGTCAGGCGGTTTCTTTCTCTGCGGCCCTAACCACCGGTAGCTTGGGCCTCGCTCCGCTGCTGGTGGCCTTCTAGGTTAGGTTTTTTATACTATATTTATTTTTGTATTTACGTGTTTGTATTTTACTTTTATATCTATTTTATAAAAAACCTAACTTGTGAAATTAAATAAATGAGAGAATAATAATAATAATGTGGCACTTACTCTTGATATCAAATTAAACCATTCCGTTCTGTTATTCGAAGGATGCACCCATCTTCTTTTTGGTCCTTTTTAACTGTACCTTCCAACTCTACGTAGTTGTATAGAGAAGGGCACGGGCCCCTTTTTCACTATAAAGAAACCTCATGTTATTCTATATGGGTATTTGTGTAACCTTTCATGATTTATGAATTTGAGTACCTACCAATTCTAAACTCTATTCCTTATTATCATAACCAGCCACCTTTAGCACCGTACTGGCATTTGCAAGCGAGTCACAAAGCAGGTACTACAATCAATGATCTTTTCTTTTTCGGCCTGCATGGCTCTTCTTACTTCCTTAAAATATGTCTTTACCTATGAAATTGCCGTTCTGCCATACTGGCTATTACAAGTCCATTTTTTCCTTTTTCGCTAAGAATTATAAATTCAAATTATTTTTATTTTTAAAATATGGAATTCTTTCTGTTTTTCAGCGCATTCATAGGATTTCGCCAGCATGGATACATTAAAAATTTGAGTGATTATGGAGTATGAGTACCATCGTGGCAGCAAAGCGGCAAAAGCGGCACGGCAATATCAACGACGAATACGGACGGAGCAAACACTACTAACTAATCGGACTACCTGTTATAGGTAGTAGCCCGCTTCCGTTCTGGAAATTTTGGCCTAAGAAATGAACACCATGGTCGACCGAAAACTTTAATCGACAATGAAGAATTAAAGGTGATTGTGGAAGCTGATGATTCTCAATACAGAAATCAATGTTAGCATCAAATCAATACATTGATGTCGATTCTGGCATGATTCTCTAAAGCTAAACTTAAAATTGACAACAGTGCATCCTTGTCATTCTCTATACAGAATGAAAAGGAGAGACTGATGTTAAATTTAGTTTTAAGTTTAGAGAATGACGCTAGAATCGTCACCACTATCATAACCATTTGCGTCAAATTCGCAAGGTAAAAAAGCTTGATTAATGGGTGCTCCACGAATTGAATGATCGAGCCTTGCACTGCACTATAGGCACACAAATCAAGGCATATTGAATCGCATAGTTATTTGCGACGAAAAGTGTTCGACAATCGCAAGCGCTCAGCAAGTTGATTGGATCTTAAGATTTTATTTAATTTGATTGGATCTTGTTCAGCACCTAAACAGTGCCCCAAACGAAAACTGACTCCTAAAAAAGTGATGGTCACTGTTTGGTGGTCTAGCGCCGGTGTCATTCATCACAGCTTCTTACCGAACGGGATGAGCATAACTGTAGATGTGTACTGTGAAGAACTGAACACAATGATGGAGAAGCTCGCACATCTCCAACCAGCTTTGATCAATCGTTCGGCTTCGCTGCTCCTGCACAACAACACGCGACCTCATACTAAACAACAGACGGTCTCCAACTTACAAGAGCTGGG